AGACCTTCCCAGTGACAGAGACCCCCAGCCCGAGAGGAAGCATGGTCTCTGCAGCATTTCTCAGGCTTCCTCTGAGCTGTGAGCCACCCCAGTTCACACGGGTAATACAAGTAGAGTTGGGTCAGAAAAGAGTACATTAATAGTGAAGTATCCTATGAAATCTTCAAGCTTCACGAGATATTGCATTCTAATTAATATATATCCATATTTAAGGATATTTTTACTGCTTAATTTTTTCCTCCCACATTTTTAAGCAAAAATATAACTCTAGGAAGATGCCTAGTGAGGCTGTTCAATCTCTTTCCCTTCCACCTCCCCTGCAGGAAACTTATAATTGAGCTTGAGAAGAACTGAGGAATTAGGACAGATTGTGTGTTGGCTGGCCAGTTACTGGGCTGGTTACCTCAAACAAGTTTTAATTTCCTTATGCCGCAAATAGGCACAATACTAGCTCTTCTTTTCATGATCGATGTGGAGATGAACCGAAGAAGTGCTTTTAAAACACCCAGTCAGTGATTTGACACATGCTGTTAGTTCCCACTGCCTTTCCCTTTGAGTAGAATTAGTCACACAGTATTAATCCATCTATAACTTTTAATTTTACACGGCCCACATTGTTACAGTCTTGTACTCCAAGGTAGAAACCACATCTAGAGCATTCCTACCCACTTGGATAAGAAAAGATTTTCATTGCAAGTTAAATTGATCTGCAAGTCTTAGGAACAAAAATACAGTGATTCTTACTTCAACAAATGATACAGTCTCTGATGTCTCTGACTCTGGACATTGAGGTATCTATATGTTGCCAAACATTGCTGTTCCAGGTTCTCAGTTAAAATGAGGTGATTAAAACACCAGATTGAGCTATAGTATACGATTTTAGTCATAAAAAGTTAATTGAAAAGATATTGAACACTGAGTACTAAGATTTGAATACTGGGAATTGGGGGACCATTAATTAATAAAGGACAAAGTTGGAAACTCTCAGATGAAAACACTTGCACAGATTTATTTAGGGTGGTTTTCAACTGCTATGCTGAGAGTAGTGGGAAACCATCAGTGGAGTTATAGTTAGTCTACAGGGAAGTCTATAACCCACAACAACAATCATTCTCACCTATTTTCAAGTGGTAAAAACACCTGGAAATGCCACTGTAATATTGCACATGTGACTGTCAACTTTCAAGAGATTCATATCGGGGAAAAATAGTCAAGAAGTGATAACTATGATCTTTTCCTTGTATCTATTTATTACTTTTATCTGTCTGAGAACAGAAAAGCACGTTTAATAGATTAAAATATTTTCCATTGTTAAAAGCATTTGTTAAAATTTCTCAAAATGTCCCTTACTTCATTTGGCATAGTTATTTGTGTGATTAAGAGTTTCATGGCACAGAGCACTTTGACTAAAAGCTTCCCACATATGCAAGATATTTTCTTTCCAAGAAATACTCATATTCTGCATGTACATTGCATGCTGAGTGTAGAAAGCATGCCATGCACAATATCTTATCCCATTCTCATAAAATCATCATGAGCTACAGCTGCAGAAATTTAAAATTTTATTTTCTTTTCTCTCCATTTTACAAATAATAAAGGTTTAAAATGTCATCAGAAATGGGCCAAAAGGACTAAATTCTGAATCTTCATATTCTTAGCTATAATATTTTAATAGGCATATTTTTCAAGTATTTTTCTGTCCTCATGTGTGGTTTTGTTATTAAATGATGTCAAAGGGAAATGAGTACTTTTAATATCTGAAAAATAAACCTTTAATTTTTTTATACTAATCTCAGTTTATACTAATATAGTTTTGTTACTAACTAAAAACTATATTTCTAGTGAAATCATCCCAGATACTATTAAATAGTGGGAGAAATTTAAAAATTTTATAGAAGACACTGAGTTCTATATTTTTCATCATTTTCATGCCAACAAATGTCCTGGCTACAGAGGAAAACAAGCAATTTTAAAGTATCGTTCCTGCCATCGGGCCAACTGCCCTCTAAAATTCTCTATTTTGATTAAATTTCTCCTGGACTATTACATAATTAACAGCCCTGTCTACAACTACCAGGATTAATTTCACATCGCTTCTACCTGGAATTTAACTGAAGTAAAGACTGTTGTGATAATACAAAGAATTGAGAGTGGTAGCAATTTCGTATCATTAAGACCTTTTGGTCACTAAAAATGTCAGACAAAATGACTCTCTGACCATCATAACCCAATCTCTAGATAATACTGTTGACCTTTCCCTTTTGCCCCACTGGCCCCAAGCCCCGGCTCACCCATCCCACGCCGGCCGTCGAGGGCCTGTGGAGAAAGTGAAGCCCTTGCATGAGCTGGTCTTGCAGTTCACCTTCACTCTCTGCAGAATGAGCTGAACTTCCTGCGTCTCCCTGCGAGACACTCATTTTCATGATCCAGAGCAGATACCTTAGATTTTTAAGACGTTCCTAGAGCCAACTTCTCCAAGTCATCTAAACTCAGAATCTTTCCCTCCTAGAAAAACTGAAGCTCTGAAGCAGTGGTCCCTCCAATCCCCCGAGATGCTACCACCTTTGGACCCATTTGCACCACCTTCCTCAGGGGACACTCGCCCTCCCCTGGAGTCCTGATTCCAGCCTTCTTCCCTTCTCAGCACCTTCCTTCTCATCACGCCCCTCCCAACAACTTCCATTCTCTCGGTGTTTTATCCAGCCTTTATGTGTCCTTATCTCAGCGTATGAATGTTCTGAAGTCTCTGCCACTCCACGTCCCAAAGACGAGACCATTTTATTTCTGTCCTTCACAGCCAAGACTGAGAAAGAACAAGTCCTCACAGACCCACTTCCACACCACAGCCTGTGGCCTGTGGTGTCCTCTCCACACCACCATCTGTTTCCTTTTTCTATGGCTTCTCTATCAATGTCAATCTCAAAAAATATGTTCTCCCTTTGTTTTGATTACTAATTTCATTTAATTTTCCTACTCCCTTCCTGAATTCAATTCTTTCTTCACCCCTAAAATTTTAGCATCTCCTTTTGGGTGAGTTCAATCACTCACATGTTTGGTGTTTTTGTTTTTTGCATGTTGATGACTTCCAGATCTTATTTTCTAACCTTTTCTGAGTTTCAGGTCCCTATAGCCAACTGTTTCCTTGAACTCCACTTGAACTTTAACAAGAAGTTCAAAGTCCACAGGACTAGTATAGATATAAGACTTTCTCTGTCAAGAAACCTACTCTTTCTCTTGACAACCCTCTCTGGCTGAATGAGCTCACTGTCCATGCTTTTCCCCAGATAGAAACCTGAAAGGCATCATCAGCGCCTCTCCCCCCCCCCC